GTGTTTGTTATTCCCACCCTTGGTCTCTTAGCCAGAGGGGAAAGACAATTTTGGATTGCAATGGAGCGAGACAAGCACTACACTTGATCACTCTGTTCTCATTCTGCCCCCCTTCCCCATTTGCAGTTATAGACTCCATGGCTTGTATTGCTGTAAAACATTTCACATGTACATCAGTCTACCACAGGGATGTCTCGGGCTTTTCTGAAGTGGTGTAGTTTCCTTCTAACCATACCATGAAAGCAAATCATAGCTGTATAAATCAAGCACAAACACAAGCTATAGAATTCTTGAATCTTAGTGCAGGAAAGGACCCTAAGGGTCATTTGGTCCAACCCCATGCCATTACAGGAAGCAAACCACTATGCCATGCTGGTTCCCCCTGCTTAAATCCCGCTAGGCCTGTAGCCATCTGTTTCAAAACCTTCAATAAAAGTGATGCCATCATCTTCTGAGGCAATCTACTATTAAACAGCTCTTATCATTAGGAAGATCATTCTCACTTTTAGTTAGAATCTCCTTTCAATCACCAATGCTCCAGGCTAAACATATCCAACTGTCTCAAAGATGCTGCTTTCTTTATTTTATTTTCATTTTGGTCACACTTCTGGGCACACAAATATATTATTTCACATAGCAATGACTGGATTGGGATATCCCTGAGATAGGTGGATAGAGAAGTTTGGCTGGGATCACAACAGTGGGTAGACAGAAGCACTTTAGATTTGATGGTTTTGTTTACTTGGACTACCATGGGGCGGGGTAGAAATAAATATTATTATTATTATTATTATTATTATTATTATTATTATTATTAAACAATTCCCTTTTTTCTGGGAACCTGATATCTCAAAAATATGCTATCTCTAAATATGATATATCAAATCATGACAACTCTAAAATACAGAGCAGGTTTATGCAGAGATGCATAACAAAGGGGCCTTAATAAAAAAAAAGTTGAATATTGCTGAAATTCCTGGGATATTCTGGGGTACTTTGACACCACAAAATTAAAGCACAATGATTCCACTTTATCTGCCAAGTCTGGAGTTATAGCATTGTGAGGCCCAGTGTTCTGTGTCTGATCATTTAAACTGTAAATTCCATATGATGTTGGCATGGCAGAAGGTAAAATCATAAGCACAATATCTGTGTAGTGTGGAAATGATTGTGATGCCTTTAAAAAACCATTTTATAAGTATATGCAAGACATTTCATCGTATTTGCAACAATGACATATGTGTCATCCTCAGATCTCCTTTTCCTGTGGGCGTTCACAATGGCTATGTAATATAAGAAGCAATTGAGGTCTAGGTTAATGTCCTCACTCCTGCACACACCCCATCATATCTCATTCCTTTGATCATCTTTCAGAAGGCTGAGGGCAAGAAAAAGACAATGTAGAGCCAGCTCCTCCTTCTGTGTCAGAGTATAGGATAGTCATAATAATAGCTTGCATATAGGAAACACCTTCCACATAAAGATTGCTGTCTACTTTGCAAACAATGAAGGATGATCTCATGGCAGTGTCTGCAAGACTCATAGTGAAGAAACTGTTCCACAACATGGTAGACCAAATTCATGAAAGCAACTTGTGAATTTCCCCCAAATTATTTGTTTCCTCTTCCCTCCAGTGAGCTCAAGGGGTTTACCTGATTCTCTTTTTCTCCCTCAAAGCAAACCTCTAAAGTAGATTAGGCTAAGAGACAAACATGAACACACTGATTATGCCATCCAGCTCTACCTGGAGTTGTATTGTGCATATTTATACATTTTGTCTCTAGCCTATATAAATTTAAAGGTGTGCATGGCTATGGTGTAATGAAGCATAGTTTGTCATTTCTCATATTGTACTTGTCAAAATATGTTTTTGAATGGTTGATATCTCGTGTGGCCATAGGGTCTAAATAGTTTTTCAATTTTGTAGTTTTGTGAGATATTTAGCCTTTCCTGTCAGACAACTCTGATGCCCCACCAAACTACAAACCACAGAATTCCATAGTATGGAACCATGGAAGTTAAAGTGGTGTGAAGCTACTTTATTTCTGCAGTGTGGCAGTAGTCCTGGATGTTCTTCTACTCATCAAGCATAACAAGATTGTTCAGATCTGTTTTGTAAACCAACTGAAGCTCCTATGTCTTTGCACTGGAATTCCTGCCATCTCAAACATATAACAAAGCAATATCATATATTGTTTGCCACTTAGGATTAAATGTATTTGTGACAATGGTACTATCTACCAACAGAGTATCCAAGAACTAAAACACCACCTGCTCTGGATATTCAGAGCAGATATCTATTTTTTATCCTTGAGCACAATATTTATCAAGTGGCTATATTGACTAAAAAGCATCTTCTCTACCAAAAAATAAAGAGGCAATTAAAAAAAATGAGGAAAGTTGTGTGCTTTTCATGGTTGATTTCCACCTATTATCTCCCAGTTAATAGTTGGCAGCCAAAGAAAGTTTCCTCTTGACAGCTAATTCACCACACTTTGCTAAAGCTATTAATATGCCCCCTATCATGGTTTTCCATCAGCCACCTACTCTAAAGAAGCTGCTGGTGAGAGCTGCAATAAAAATTCCAACTCAAAATCCTGGATCACATTCACTGTGCTTCCAGCTATTGCATCACTTGTGCATATTTATGTGAAACTATAACTTTTAAAAGCAGAAGCACTGGCAGACTCAATCACAATCCATGACTTAAAATTCAGCCAATGTCATATATGTGATTGAAGGTCAGCAGGTCAGGTGCCACATACAATATCTTTGAAAAAGCACCATGATCATCACATGAAATTCAGTAACCTTAAGTCATTAATCACTACCAAAATGTTGGAGCAACCTGGGATCCTTTCACACCATCCAATTATAGGTTTATTATTCCGCTTAACTACCATGGTCCCAACCTATGGGATCTTGGGATCAGCAGCTTAGGCAATGGCATCACTATCTTTGATGACACCTAGTGTGGGAAGCTGCCAGTTGGACAAGGCGTGGGTGGGTGGGTGGAGGGCTGTCCCAACTCTTCCATGAACTTGGTCAACTGTGGCCCCTAGTGTGAAATGGTCCTGGATATACAGACTTTTATTGCTCAGTCATCTCTCTAACATTCTCCATTGACATTGCACATGCTGCTAGGACTGAAAACAGACATAGGTAAAAATGGCTTCCCTCCTGCCATTATATCTTAGCAAAAAGGAATGGAATGTAACCTAAAATATTTCCCTCATTAGATATGCCAGTGGATAAAATTTCAAGTGTTCTTTGACATTTTGTTGCTATAGATAAAATGTGAGTAGTCATATATCTGAGCTACATTTTGAGCCATGTGATTCACAGGTTCTTTGGATACCCACTTCAACCTCCATTCTTTCTCCATCCCAAAACAATAGGCCTGTCTGTAGGATGATAGGACATGAAAATGGGCTAAAGGCATGGGTCCACCCTCTTCCCACTTCAAGCTGGTTGAGTTGAGTGACGCTAAGTCATTACTATGTCTAATTACAAACCTGAGTCAGATTAACCTTTGATGACTAACTTAATCTTCTAAATAAAATGAATATGCATCAGGCTGAAAAATTAGGATTAAATGCTCTCTAGTATCTTTATGAGATCAGGCAGGCTCTGTGGTAAAGATGTCATGCATTACCATGAAGCAATTAAAATAAGCCAGGAATTCCTGAAAGAAATGCCTTTAAATCCCAAGGGCCCCACTACAAATAGTTCTCACAGGCAATTATTAATTAACCTATACATGGCTGGATGGGTCACCATTGGAGAAACCCAAGTACAGCGAGGATAATTTAAAGATTCTTGTAATGTCTCTCTTCCTAACAATGACGTAAGCTTGGGTCAATTGACTTAGACTCAAGTTGGACTCAAGTCTTTTCAGTAATTCTACTTGGATTCGACTCGGCAATAAATGATGTATTGACTCAACTCAAGACTTGTGTATTTTTAGCAACTGACTTGCTGGCATAATTCACTTTGAATAACAGGCAAAACCTGCCCTCAGAGTACAGGGTAAACGAAGGGGTATCGTAAAGTTTTTATTATCACCTTTAAAAAAAATTGACAGAAAGTTTGTTTTGATTTGTAGTTGTTAACATTTCTCAACGTAGTCACCATCCAGATTTACACATTATTCCTAGTGTTTCTTGACTCTCTGAATACCATTATTGTAGAAGTATGCAGACTGCACCTTAAACCACTCTTCCACTTCATGAATGATGCCATTCGTGTTGTCAAATTGTCAACCTTGCAACAGATTTTTTTCATTTCTAGGAACAAGAAAAACTTGGTGCGAGGTTGGGAAAATAAGGTGGATGCTTCAAGATCTCAAAGCCACATGCCCTTGCCTTGTTAACTACAACTTGAGATGAGTGAGCTGGTGCATTGTCAGCTAGG